ATTCTTGGAGCTTCCCTGGTGGCTCACTAGTAAAAGAAATGTGGGTTCAATCCCTGGATCGGGAAGATCCCCTGGAGATGAAAATGGCAACCCACTCCAGTATTCTTGCTGGGGAAATCCCAAGGACAGAGGAACCTGGCGGTCCATGGGATCTCGCAAAAGAGTGGGATACAATGTAGTGACTGAACAATTCTCTTCTTACTATGCTTCACTCAGTGGATCTCATTCGTTCTCGTGGCTTTAAAGACCCTGTGTAGGCTGTTCATCTCCAAATTCTCAATTCCCTGAGCCCTACCCTTGCCCTCTTCACTTGGATGTCTCTGAGGCATTTCAGACTCAACATTTCCAAAATGGAGCTCCAAGAATGGCTGCCTCCCTCACTCCGAAACCTGCTTCTCCAACTAGGAAATGGCACTCTTCTCCCGTGTGTTCGAGGAGGAGAATGTGAGTGCCATCCTCCATGCCTCCCTCTTCCTCCTCTCTTGCATCTCACTCATCTGCAAGTCCCATAATGTGCACCTTGGGACCACATCACAAAGGAAATACACTTCTTCTCTCCATCTCTTACTGCCATAGTCCTGGCCAAGTCACCACCGCCTCTCACCTGGGAGGCTCCTGAGTCCACGCAGGGCTCCCACTTCCACTCTGGTTCCAAATTCCAGCCACGATGACCTTTTAGGAGCAGAAATTTGATTGCTAATCCTCTTGCCTGATGACCTCTTACCGCACCTAGCATGACAACCACCACCACCCTGTGACTTACAAGTGTCTACCCTTGTAATCTCCATCTGACTTCCTGCCTCCCATCACTCACTTCTCTTTGGCCTCACTGGCTTCCTTGGGATTCCCATAACGTGCCAAATCTTTCCTTCTTTGGGTTCATCTTCCATCCCACTGTCTGGAATGGCCAGCTTCTTCCCATTCTTCAAACTTCAGTGTAAATGTTGCCTCTTTGATCACTGCCCAAGACCCAAGGAGACTCCACATCCTTCTCAACATCCTCTTCATCCAGTCATTTCACTCAGAGCACTCACTGATCACAACTTGGCATTTTTATTTACTCATCTTGTTTATTTTTTGTCTCCCCACCTGAGTGTCAAGTCTGTGAGGGCAACTCGGCACATAGAAGGTGCCAACAGGTATTTGTTGGATTGATGAACAGGTGACTGATGGGGGGATGCACTTAGGGAACACAGAGGGCCAGGCAAGCACTGATTTTCTTTTTCTTTTTTTTTTTTTTTATCACAACCATAGTGTATCTTTTTTTTTTTTTTTACATGTATTCCCCATCCCGGTCCCCCCTCCCACCTCCCTCTCCACCCAATCCCTCTGGGTCTTCCCAGTGCACCAGGCCCGAGCACTTGTCTCATGCACCCAACCTGGGCTGGTGAACTGTTTCACCCTAGATAATATACGTGTTTCAATGCTGTTCTCTTGAAACATCCCACCCTCGCCTTCTCCCAGAGTCCACAAGTCTGTTCTATACATAGGAGTCTCTTTTTCTGTTTTGCACATAGGGTTATCGTTACCATCTTTCTAAATGCCATATATATGTGTTAGTATACTGTAATGGTCTTTATCTTTCTGGCTTACTTCGCTCTGTATAATGGGCTCCAGTTTCATCCATCTCATTAGAACTGATTCAAATGAATTCTTTTTAATGGCTGAGTAATATTCCATGGTGTATATGTACCACAGCTTCCTCATCCATTCATCTGCTGATGGGCATCTAGGTTGCTTCCATGTCCTGGCTATTATAAACAGTGCTGCGATGAACATTGGGGTACACGTGTCTCTTTCAGATCTGGTTTCCTCGGTGTGTATGCCCAGAAGTGGGATTGCTGGGTCATATGGCAGTTCTATTTCCAGCTTTTTAAGAAATCTCCACACTGTTTTCCATAGTAGCTGTACTAATTTGCATTCCCACCAACAGTGTAAGAGGGTGCAAGCACTGATTTTCGAGCGGGTGGTGGAGGGGCTGTCCAGGGGACTTGAGCAGGAGGGATAGGAGGGTAGAGTCGGTAAGAGGAGAGGCGTGACACATTGGGAGGGGAGCCGTTTGGCTACAGCTAACAGCAAATCTGTCCAGTGATGATGTAGACAAGAGGGATTTGTTTTTAGTTTTCAAAACTGAAGAACAGTTAATTTACAGTATTGTGTAAGTTTCAGGTATATAGTACAGAGATTCAGAATATATATATATATATTTATTCTTTTTCAGATTCTTTTCCCTTATAGGTTATTACATCATATTAAGTAGAGTTCCCTGAATTATACAGTAGGTCCTTATTGCTTATCTCTTTTATACACAGTAGTGTGTAAACGTTAATCCCAGCTTCCTAATTTATCCCTCCCCCACCCCCTTTCCCTTTTGGTAGCCATAAGTTTGTTTCTGTGTCTGTGAGTAAGAGGGATTATTTTTCTCATGGTTAAGATGGTCAGTAGCAGATCTCTGGTGAATGTTACCGAGGTCCTCTTGACCTTCCCTCAGCTTCAGGAATCACATTCTCACACGGCTAAGTTCAAAGACAGGAAACAGAGCCGCCTGGGCTGAGCAGGAAACAGCAGTCTTGTCCTCCTGTCTCCCTCTTATTTGTGGGGGTGGGTGGTGGTGAGGGGTTGTCCCCAGAAGACCCCAGCTGATCTCCACCTATGTCCCACTGGTCAGAAAGGACCCATGTTGCTGTTTGACTGGAAACTGAAATAAAAGAATCTCCTTCCTGTGTTTGAACCGAGTTGGGATTCTGCCAGCTAAGGAGAAGGGAAATGGCTTTGAATAGGCAACGAGCAGTGCTTGCCCCAAGCACCTCTTGCAAGGAAGAGTTTTTTCTGTTGGATTCATTGCCAAAGGAAGTCGAATGGAATGGGTGTTGAGGAGTGGCTGTGAGCTTCAATGCTTCTAGACTTTTTGTGACTCTTGAGAGGCAGTTCCCATTGAGTAGCCAGGCTGGGTTGAACATGGCAGGGGCCTTAGGAATCCCGGGGGGAAGTTCAGGAGATGAAAGTGGGCTGCCAGGAAGTTTGGAGTTCAAGGTAAGAGAAGAGATAGGACCTCTCTGGGCACAGGAGGCAGACACAGGAGGCCTGAATTTTCATTCGAGGCATACTTGAAGGTGTGTACAGGCAGAGCAGAAGAAGCCAGCAGGAGAGAGAGGGTAAGGATTTTGAAGCAAGATTGCAGTTGATTCCTGTGCCCTGAAAGAAACCTGGGGGTGAGATCAGCACACAAGAGGTGCTGGCTATTATTGGAACACAGGGGAGGTTTTTCTGAAAAGACTCAGATGCCTTCTGAGGCTGGAGGTGTGCAGGATAGTGAAGATCCCTGGGGAGATGAAGTTTCCTTACTTCCCTTGATATGACCACGGGTTCATTTAGAAATTGAATCCATAACCTTGATCTTTACATCAACCTTTGTCATAACATTTGTCATAACATATAATGGACTCTCAAGAGATCTCCTTGGACTGGCAAGGAGATCATGCCTGTCAATCCTAAAGGAAATCAAACCTGAATATCCATTGGAAGGACTGATGCTGAAGCTCCAATACTTTGGCCACTTCATGCGAGGAGCTGACTCATTGGAAAAGACCCTGATGCTGGGAAAGATTAAAGGCAAAAGGAGAAGGGAGCCGGAGACGATGAGATGGTTAGATAACATCGCTGACTCAATGGACTTGGAATTTGAGCAAACTCCAGGAGATAGTGAAGGACAGAGGAGCCTGGAGTCCACTGGGTTGCAAAGAGTCGGACCTGACTTAGCAACTGAAAAACAGCAAAATACCAGACTCTAAAGAAACAGATCACACTTGTGTGATCGTACACTGGAGAGTCCAAAAACAAAGCCTATCCTCAGATTTTCTCGTTCAGATGGGCGCAGCAGCCCAGGACATGGTCAGAGGCATGGCTACGACACACTACGGTCCCGAGGGCGGAGGTCACTGCACACACAGCGTGGGGCTGTCAGATCCTGAAGCCAATGGCCAGCAGGGTGGACAGCGAGAGCCCCAGGCTGGACAGAGAGGACTTGGGATCCAGGTCCAGGCCTATCACGGACGAGCTGGGATTCGCTGGCACCTTCCAAGCCTGACATCATGTGCAGGGCTGTGGGTCATGGCGCCCGGCTCCTCCTTCCGCTGCCCACAGTTAGAAAACTTGCTGGCTCCACACAGGGGTTAAGGGAATGACTCCCTGCCCCCTCCCCACCCCTCTCTGGGGAGTTGTGACCCTGCTCAGTAGCCCCTGGAATAGAAGAGCGTTTTTCTTCCCCATTAGCCCTGGTCCGTCACTCCTGGCATCTTTCCCCTTTGTTTGGGGGAAGGGTGGCACAGCGCCCAGCTTGTAGGACTGGGAGCCAAACCTTTCTCTCTGTTTATTCCGATCGTAGCTATGGCTGCAGCAGAAAGCAAACAGCAGTTTGACTAGAGGCATGAGCTCAGTATTCCACAACACGGAGGCTCGTGTCTGCTTACGTAGGCGGCATATAACACAACATTATGTTAAAATGAATATTAGCCCCAACAGGAAAAAAAAAATGCATTTTTAAGGAAAAGTTCTTAGCAGGAATGTCCGGATGCGGAGTTGGTAAGATTGACATCTCCCCATAAACCCCTTCATGTCCATCCCCAGCCTGTGCTGTCTCTGGGGTGTGGGTTCCGAAGGGGACACGTCTGTCCCGGGGTCACCCTCCTTATCCAGCACCTGGGGTAGGGCTTTGGGCTCCATGCACATCTCACAGAGTCGCTGGGAGAGCCTGACGTTGGTGAGAAGTGAGGAGCAGGATGGTCTGATCCCGTCAAAGCTGCCACATTGGATCCGTCCCGCCCTGTTGGCTGGGTTGCCTCGACCCCACTCCATAAGATGGGACTCATGATAATTTCTCCCCCACAGGTGGCTATGGGGAGAGTCAAGGAGTTTATTATATCTGGGAAGTGCTTAGAAGGGTGCCCAGAGGGAATCAGTCACTCAGTCAACAAACAGGGTGCCTGTAGTTTGTGCCTGTCATGCCCTGTGGGAAGGAAGCTCCAGACGTGCCCTTGAGGAGCCACCAGCATCTCACTGGAGAAGGAAAATGGACACTGTGGGCATTAGTAGAGAACAGCGAGGCCTGGGGGACCAGCCCTTCCCATGGAGTAGATGTTCCGGAGGGCAAGCAGCTGCTGGGTGGGGTGCGCTGTCAGCCAGCCCTGCTGCTGAATCTCCTGGCAGCCGAGGCAGGGAGAGAGGAGAATCTGGTATTCATTGTACGGTTGTTTCTAATTTCCTTCTGCTTTCGAGATCCTCTTCTGCGAGAGAACAATGCCCTGAGAGGCTCAGGCTTCCTCAGCTGGGCACCCGCCCAGCTCTGGAGGAGGTGGCGCCCAGGAGCCAGCCAGACACTTGCAGACCAATGACATCTGATTCCCATCTTCTGAGAAATCTCTGGGGACGGTGGGGTTTGGTGGCTGGTTCAAATCACCTCCTGTCATTTGTCATTATATCCCTGGGGCTTGGAGGGAGTCCTCCCGATCTCATTTATGAGTGTTCTCTGAAAACGTTCCCTTTGTGCCCAGAAAGGACAGTCCTTCGTGTCCCACCAGGAAGGCAGGACCATCAGAAGCTGGGTGAGCAGAGTGGGCTGTCGGACCCACGGGACTCCCTGTAGGCTCTCGAGACGGGAGCCACGAGGCTGCTCCTTGCCACCGAGTCCCCAGGAAGAGGCGGGGGAGAGGGCAGGGTCCTTGGGCACGTCATCCAGCTCACAGAACAGTGCTGGAGAGAGACCCTTAGCGGAGGACCCCGGGGCTGGCATGGCCCTGGCCTCAGAAGTCCAGCTGGGGGCAGAAGGCCCAGGACCATGTCCAGAGAAAATGGGGTGGGGTTTCCTCATTCCTTTCTGTTGTCACACTTGGCCTCTTACTTGTGGATTTGAGTATATTTATCAGCCTTGCTGGGTTACTCTTTCATCACCAGAAAACAGAGAATCCTAAAATAGTGACCCACATGTGGAAAGGGGCAGAGACGGCAGAGAGCTGTTTGACTCCGATCTTCAAGGCTGTTGAGAAAGAGGCTCTGAGGATGGCAGTGGGAATAAGAGGAGTGAGGGGACACCCCAGGTCCTCCAAGGGCTCCAGCAGGGGTCAGCTGTTCTCAGGATGAGACGAGACCAGAGCAGTCTTGCCCACACGTAAGTCACTCCGGTGCCATCATCAGAATTTCTGTCACATTCACATGCTATCATTTGCTATTTGTTTGATAGCTGTCTTTAAGTAGGTTTATTTTAAAAACCTTACATTTAGGGCTTCCCAGGTGGCACAGTGGTAAAGAATCTGCCTGCCAATGCAGGAGACCCAAGAGATGCGGGGTTCGATCCCTGGGTGGGGAAGATCCCCTGCAGAAGGAAATGGCAGCCCACGCCAGTATTCTTGCCTAGAGAATCCTGTGGACAGAGGAGCCTGGTGGGCTACCTTCCATGGCGTCACAAAAGAGTTGGACACGACTGAGCACAGCATGCATAACTGGTGGTCTGGTGGTTAAGAATTCGCCTTGCAATGCAAGGGACACTGGTTTGATCCCTGGTCCAGGAAGATCCCACATGCCGTGAGCAACTAAGCTGGGGACACCACGGCTCTGAGCCTGTGCTCGGCAACAAGAGAAGTCATGGTAATGAGAAGCCTGCAAGCAGTAGCAAAGACCGAGAGCAGCCGTGAAGTAAATAAATTAAGAAAATAAATTTAAAAATGTATATTTAATTACAAAAAAACTTTATATCGCTGCCATCAATGAAACCTGGAAGTTTTTTAGTAAGCCCTGAAACAAATTCATAACTGCGAAAGTAAAAATGTTCATCGTGTACCACTGAAATCTTGAGCCACCACTCAGGGCTTTGTGTAGGTTCTTGGCGTAGGCTTTTTTAAAAAGGTTATTTATTTAAATTTACATTTGATTTACTAATTTATTTCTTTTGGCCATGACACTCATCTTTTGGGATCTCAGTTCCCCATCCAGGGCTTTAATCTGGGCCCTCAGTAGTGAAAGTGCAGAATCCTAACCACCAGACCAACAGGGAACTCCTATTAATTTATTTTTATTTAAAAAAACTTAAACTGAAGTATCATTGATATACAATACTGTGTTAGTTTCTGGTGTACAGCAAACTGTGTGATCAGTTATACATATATATATATTCTTTTTCATATTCTTTTCCATTATGGTTTATTATATGATACTGAATATAATTCCAGTGCTATAGAGGAAGACCTTGTTGTTTACCTATTTTATATATGGTAGTTTGTATTTGCTAATCCCAGACTCCTAACTTATTCCTCCCCCACCCCCTGCCCGCTTTGGTAACCATAAATTTATCTTTTTCCTATGCCTGTGAGTCTGTTTCTATTTTGTAAATAAGTTCATTTCTATCACATTAAAAATTCCACATATAAGTGATATCCTATGATATTTGTCTTTCTCTGAACTTCACTTAATATGATAATAATCTCTAGGTCCATCCATGTTGCACAAATGGCATTATTGCATTCTTTTTTATGGCCGAGTAGTATTCCATTGCATATCTATTTCTTGGGGTAGGTGTTTACACACCAGAGTGCCTCCACACTTGTCTGAGGGGGTGAGGTTGACATGGATTACAGTAGGAGGGAGGTGATTTGTGTTACTCTGTGACCCCATAAAGATACTCCAGGAGAGCACCCCAATGCTTGACCAAGGTTTCCCTGTTATCTGCATCAGCATCTCCAGCATGGGAGAATGACAGTGTCTCCTTCAGAGGCTGGGGGAGGAGGGGCTGAATTCGTGTTTTCACAGACTGTTTACAACAGTGTTCAGGGTGTTAACAGGTGTTAACACCTACCGTGTGACTTGGGAGATTCTGACCGAGGGCTCTCCCAGGCCATCTGCCTGCCTGGAGACAGGCCAGGACTGACAGCATCTCAGGGCACCCTCCTGCTCTCATGGATCTCTTGCTCTGTAACTTCTCCACTGGGACAGGTGTGGCCAGGTAGCCTGACCTTCAGTTCCCTCATAATTATAGGATTAAGCTAAGATTAGTCATATATATATATGACATCGCATTAGTCATCATGAAACACCCTCGCTGAAATTGTGGTCATCTATGTCCACTGGAAGCTCTGGCATGGGCTTCCAGGGACTGGCACTCCTGACCCCATGCTGGGGGGGTTGTTGATTCTGGGTCTGCACCTCCATCTGACCAGTACTGGGCTGTTTCTGGAATGGGGCTCGTGGCTTGGAGAGAGAAAGGAGCTGTGGGAAGCAATCTCAGGTTCCCTGGTGGGACTGGAAATTCTGCTTCAGGCCCTGGAATTTTGATTTCCTCTGTGGCCTGGCCCTTGCCTTCCCCTCCCCCAACCCACTCCTTATTCCCTTATTCGTCTCTGATGCTTCCTCCCCCTCCCCCACTCAGATCCGGTTCCTCATCTGTAAAAGCGGGGGTTGCACTAGATCATATCTGAGGCCCCTGTGAGCTTGAAAATGCTATGATTCACCTCCCGGCCACCCTCTCACTTTTCCCGTGGGTTTCTTGATTGACAGGGAGAAGAAAGGTAGCAAAAAGAGAAACAGGGAGAGTCATGCATCCTCCAGTGTAGAGACCACCCACCCAGCACCCCAGGAGTATCTGGTCCAAAGTGAAAGCAGGACTGAGGCTGAGAAATGCTGCTTTTAGGGATGGAGAGACAGAAGGGGAGAAATGATTTAAAAGACAAACGTATAACAAATGCCCCCAGTTGATAAATGGCTAGACAAATGATAATGAAAGGGAAATTTCAGGGAGCAAAGGAAATGCAAGGGGAAAAGGTTTTTAAAGGGGAAGAGAAGGATGTGTTTACAGGTGATCACTGTGGGGGGTGTGAGTGTGAGCTGCTGGGCCCACGCTGAGGGGGACTGCCATCTCCTCCTCTGTGATTCACTCTAAAAGATGCTGCTCCTCTCTTAGGGGCTTCCCCAATGGAATCTCAGCAGCACAGCCAGTCAGCAAGGGTGCCTGTTAATGCCGCCAAGGAGCAGGCTGGATGGTCCCGAGACCTAGGCAGTCATCGCCGCCTGGGCGTGATCATGTGAGTGATCATGTGAGCCGGTCATGCTTCGTTATTTTTTCCTGTGAGAACTTTGCTCCTCATCGAATTGACAATCAGTCTCCAACTTGACAGGAAGATACCACGAGATTATTAAAAGAAATTAATATAGAGTGTCTTCATAACGGTGGAGGTGGGCAAACATTTCTAAAAGAGAATACCAGAAAGCCCAACTTAACCACAGAAGAAAAATAGATAAACTGGATTTTATCAAAATTAAACGCCTCTTTTCATCAAAAGCACTGTTAGAAACATGAAAAGAGGAAAACTCTAATTAGAAAGGATATGTGCACCCCCAATGTTCATAGCAGTCTTATTCATAATAGCCAAGGCATGGAAGCAACCTAAGTGTCTATTGACAGATGAATGGCTAAATAAGATGTGGTATATGCACACAGTGGAATATCACTCAGCCATAGAAAAGAATGAAATAATGCCATTTGCAGCTTCATGGATGACCTAGAGATTATCAAACTAAGTGAAGTAAGTCAGACAAAGAAATGTAAATATATGTTGTCACTTATATGTGGAATCTAAAAAAATGATACAAGTGGACTTATTTACCAAATGGAAATAGACTCACAGACATGGAAAACAAACTCGTAGTTATCAAAGGGGAAAGGGAAGGAGGGACAAATGAGAAGCTTGGGATTGATAGATACATATTGCTATGTATCAAATAGATAACCAACAAAGACCTACTGTATAGCACAGGGAACTGTACTCAATATTTCATAATAACCTATATGGAAAAGTATATGAAAAAAAATCTGAATCACTTTGCTATACACCTGAAACTAACATAACATAATAAATCAACTTCAAGTAAAAAAATAAATTTTTAAAAGGCAACTTTAAAAACATGAAACGGTAAGTCTCAGTTTTGGAAGAAGATAGCTGCAATACATATATCTGTACATATATAATTTTCGGAGTAAATGAAGAACCACTATCAATCAGTAAGAAAAAGGCAAACAACCCCATAAAAACTGAGCAAAAACCTTACAGACACTCACAGAAGAGCATGTACAGATGGCAAATAAACTACGAAAACGGGCTCAATATCATTACTCATCAGGAAAATGCAAATTAAAACCACAAAGAGATACCACTACACAGCCACCAGAAATACTAAAATAAGAGTGAACGCCAGGTGCCATTAAAGACACGGAATCACTGAAACTACCATGCATTGCTGTGGGGGATACAGAAATAGCATGGCCTCTTCGGAAAACTGGCAGATTCTAGAGGACTTAAAGCTATGCCTACTCTCGAATCCAGTAATTCCACTCACAGGTATATATATC